TTAGGGTTATAAATGACCATATAAAATATTTGTACACATATTTTTTGTGTCTTAAAGTATATAAATGATGTAAAAAACAGCATATAATATTTGATAAATGTAATTTATTATTTCCTTTGTAGGAATGAAGTAATTGAGTCAACATTTTTTATGATTCATATTACTAAATTGCTTTATAAAAGAACTGTATTATAGTGTCATCAACAGTGGAAGATAGTTTGTTGTCTTGTGCCCTATTTTCCATTTGGGATTGAGCCCAGGGCCTCATTCCTGTGAACACTAAGCTACATCTGTACCCTAGGAATTATCTTTTACCAAAAGCTTTACTTTATTTGGTTGGGATTCATCTTTTTTTAATTATAAAAGTTTTTTTTTTTTTTTTTTTTTTTTAAAGGGCTTGGGATTGAGTCCAGAGCCTCATGTTTGCTAAGCAAGCACTCTGTACTGAGCCACATCCCCATCCTCCCAGAATCTCTTTGTGAATTGTCTATTCTATTGCTTTGGGTTTTTTAAGATAGAACATTTTGATTTCTTAGGTGTGACTATTATTTTTGCTTAAAAAAAAAATTTGTTGTTGTTGGACACAATACCTTTATTGTATTTATTTTTACATGGTGTTGAGGATTGAACCCAGGGCCTCGCAAGTGCTAGGTGAGCGCTCTACTGCTGAGCCACAACCTCAGTCTCTATTTTTGCTTTTAATTACTGTATTGAAATTGTTATTTTGGAAGCTGGGCATGGTGGCGCACGCCTGTAATCCCAGCAGGTTGGGAGGCTGAGGCAGGAGGATTATGAGTTCAAAGCCAGCCTCAGCAATGGTGAGGCACTAAGCAACTCAGTGAGAAGGGTCTCTTAAAAAGAAAGAAAAAAAAATACAAAATAGGGCTGGGGATATGGCTCAGTGGTTGAATGCCCCTGAGTTCAATACCTGCCTCCCCCATTGTTATTCAGACATTTTGAGTTTACATTAAAGATCAGAAAGGCTTTAGGGTTTTTTTTAAGTTAATTTTTTAAAAATTTACATATGACAGTGGAATGTATTATAATTATTATACATGTAGAGCATAATTTTTCATCTCTGGTTGTACACAAAGTGGTTTTAGGGTATTATGTGAATTCTTTCTTCCCTGTTTGCCCAACCGTTCCTTTTTTAAAACACCTTTATTTATTTATTTATTTTTTATTTACTTTTTTTTTTATGAGGTGCTGAGGACTGAACCCAGTACCTTACACATAGTAGGCAAGTTCTCTACCACTGAGCTACAAGCTACAACCTCAGCCCCTGCCCAACAGTTCTTATACCTAATCATTGAAAGGATAATCTATACCTAATCATTGAAAGGATAATCTATCAGGACTGGGGCCTGGGTTCATTCCCCAGTACTACAAAAAGAAAAAGAAACCAGGGAAAAGACAATGTAAGTCTAGATATATAGTCCTGATATTAGATTTAATTACACTTACATTAGAAATTCTTTGTTTTCCAGATAAGTCATTACTAATAGTGCTTCCTTTCTGTGAAGGAAAGGTTGTTGTATAGCTTATTTCTATAGTTACAGAGTCTATTCTTTCTTTCTTTTGCAATCTTAGCATTTGAATCCAGGGCCTCATGTATGAAAGGCAAATGCTTTACCACTGAGTTATATCCCCATATCTCCCCCTCACCAATCTCTTGAAATATTTTAGTTTGTAGATGGACACAATACCTTTATTTTATTTATTTATTTTTATATGGTGCTGAGGTGCTGAGGATCAAACCCAGTGCCTCACACGTTAGGCAAGTGCTCTACCACCAAGCTACAACCCCAGCTCCCCCATCTCTTTTTAAAACTTTTATTTTGAGAAGTGGTCTTGCTAAATTACCCAGGTTGGCTTTGAACTGAGTGTCCTTCTGACTCCCACATATCTGGGATTACAGGAATAAGTTACTGTGCCAAGTTTGTTTTATAGTTTAGAACTATGTTTTGTATTCTGTGGTGCTAGGGATTGAATTTAGAGCTTTAATCATAGTTTGCAAGTGTTCTACTGAGCTACATTCCCAGATAGAACCAAATTATTGCTTTTTATCAAGTGTGCTATTTTTTTTTTTTTGTAGTTGTAGATGGACCGAATGACTTTACTTTATTTGTTTATTTTTATGTGGTGCTGAGGATCGAACCTAGTTCCTCACACATGCTAGACAAGCGTTCTGCAGCTGAGTTAGAGCCCCAGCCCAAGTGTGCTTGTTTTTGTTTTCTTCTTCCTCTGTCTTGTATTTTGGTTATTGTGTCTGATGACTGTGGTAGATGTTAGGGCTATAAGTCATGAAATGGAGCTTATGATTTATCAATGGAAATAAACTTAATTGTATACATAACTTATTTTTTTTTAAAAAAGAGATCCCTTTTTTTATTTTTTAAAAATAGGCCTTTATTTTGTTCATTTATTTATATGCAGTGCTGAGAATCGAACCCAGTGCCTCATACATGCTATGTAAGCGCTCTACCACTGAGCCACAACTCCAGCTCCTGCATACATAACTTAGCAATTATTATTGCTAATAATTGTTTTTTTTGGAGTTCATTGTGTTGTTGTGGAAAGTTCATACTGTACATTGGTGGAGGTGGTTAAGAGTAAATATTGGAGGCTGGGATATAGCTTAGAGGTACAGCACTTGGATAGCATGCTCTAGGCCCTGGGTTTCATCCCCTGTATCTTAGTAGATTAATATACATCAATATGCTAAGAAGGAGGGTATAGGTACTTTATGATACCTAACCTAATATGGTGATTTCGAGGTACTGTCTCTGATGAAGTATCTTGAAGCAAGGACCTGAGGGAAGAATAGAGGTTAGCCAGTTCTTACTGTGCGTTAGTGGGATTGGTTAAGAGTGCACGGGAGATGTAGCTCAGAGGTAAAGTGCTTGTGTAGCATGCTTGAGGCCCTGGGTTCCATAGCCATTACTTAAAAACAACAAACAAACAAACAAACAAAAATTGAACAAACCAAAAAACATAAGTCATTGAAGTGGTCCTGATGAGAGAGGTAGGTTGGCTTGCAGAAAGGTAATTGTAGAGGTGAAGAGAGTCAGGTCTCACCAGCATTTAGGAGGAGTAAGGGTAAAATGTGGTGACTAAATGTAAGGTTAGAAAGTGGGGTATGGCCAAGCCTGGGGCTTTGCTGCACCCCTGTAATCTCAGCTACTTAGGATGCAGAATCTGGAGGATCATAAGTTCAAGGCCAACTTCAGCAATCAATCTAGAGCTTATCCCAGAATTAAAGAAAAAAAGAAAAAGGGCTGGGGATGTAGCTCAGTGGTAGAGTACCTCAAGGTTCAGCCCTCCCTACCTTAAAAAAAAAAAAAGATTATTAGGTAATAAAAAAGGAGGTGCTAAAGAGTTAAGTTGATAATTAGAGTAAAATACTGGAAGACAATGACTTAGCATTTTGATGTTTTTATTTACTATTTCTTACTCTTATTTTTCCTTGGTAATTTATTGTGTACTGTGTTGTATGCTATGAAACTTCTTTTGGGAATAAGATGAGATGAGATATAAATAATAGTCAGTGTGAGCTCTAGGAATATATTCTCCATAGTAGAGCAATGTATTCAAACTTACTCTGTTATATTCTTTTTAAATCTGACCTCTTGACGATCTTAAAAAGAAATGGTGGAGTGGAAGAATGTGATCCACAATAATTTTTTTTGGGGGGGGCATAGAATCTGGGGCGCTTTACCACTGAGCCACATACCCATCCCTTTTTATTTTTTATATATTTTTTTTGGTACCAGGGGTTGAAGTCAAGGGCACTCGGCCACTGAGCCACATCCCAACCCCTATTTTGTGTTTTTTTTTTTTTTTTTTAATTTAGAGACAGGATCTCACTGAGTTGCCTAGCGCTGCGCCATTGCTGAGGCTGGCGTTGAACTCATGATCCTCCTGCCTCAGCCTCCTGAGCTGCTGGGATTGTAGGCATGTACCACCGAACCCGGCTTTATTTTTTATTATGAGACAGCGTCTTGCCAAGTTGCTGAGGCTGGCCTTGAATTTGTGATCTTCCTGCCTTAGCCTCCAGGGATTACAGGCATATGCCACTGTGCCTGGCCCGTGTAATAAGAGTAACTAGAATAACGTAGTTTTAGAGAGGAGGTCATTGCGTAGGTGAGATCATGCCTTGCCACTTTAAATCAACATTCTAAATTCTTTTGGTTTGATCTTCTTTTTGTGGGGTGGTTGTGTGCTGGCAATTACAATGGATTTTATCTCTTTATTGTAGGAGAAACGAGACCTACTAGACTACAGTAATATTAACTGATCTTAGAAAGTAAATAGATATAGATAAATGCCAAAACCTTGCCCTAGTTTTTATGTCGAGAGTATCTTTTTTGTTTGTTGTATTGTTTTTAAGAGGGGCCTTGCTATGTTGCCCAGGCTGGTCTCAGGCTCCTGACTCAACTGATCCTCTTTCCTTAGCATCCCGAGTAGCTGAGACTGTAGGTACATACCACTGTGTCTGGCCTTTTTTGTTTTTATAAATGTAAAATCTTAAAAACTGTGGCAGGATGTTTAAAAATAATACCATATTTTAAAAGAAGTTCTTAAACAAGGTGTGTTGGCGCATGCCTGTAATCTCAATGGTTTGGGAGGGTTACTGAGGTAAGAGGATAACAAATTCAAATCCAGCGGTAGTAACTTAGGCTCTAAACAACTTAGTAATACCCTTTATCAAAATTGGGAAAAAAAAAAAAAAAGATTGGCTGGGGATGTAGCTCACTGTAGAGTGCCCCTAGGTTCAGTCCCTAGTATCCAGAGAAGGGGGGAAGTTGTTAATTTGGTGCTCTGAGGAAAATCACATGTCATTAAGAACAGTTATTTTGTTAGGAATGTTCTGGAATATACTTGGCAACTAATACAAAAACTGTTCTTCCATGTTTTCTATAGTTTTGAAGTTGTAGGGAAGATGTACTTTTGGTAATCTGAAATAAAATAATATCTTCCTTTCTTTCTTTTTTTTTTAGAGATGTGAACTATGTCCCCATAAGGATGGAGCTTTAAAAAGAACAGATAATGGGGGTAAGTACAGAGATTTAAAAAAAATTTTTTTTTTTTTTTGGTTGTTGTAGATGGAGAGCATGACTTTTATTTTATTTTGCTTATTTTTGTATGTGGTGCTAAGAATCGAATCCAGTGCCTCACATGTGCCAGGAAAGCTCTCTGCCACTGAGCCCCAGCCCCAGCCCAGTACAGAGAATTTTGGGGGGGAAAATACAATTTTTTAAAAATATTGAAAACTATAGTGGTAGTACTATTATTTTATCAGTGTTTACTACTCAAATATTTTTCATAGTAGTGGATATAATTCAGTAATTTTTTGTAGTGACAGTTTTTTTTGTGTGAACAAACTTAAGCATTGACTATTTCATGTTGAGTGATCAACATACTTCATCAAAATCTTGATTCTTTTTTTTTAAATAGTTTTTTAGTTGTCATTGGACTTTCTTTTATTTATTTATTGTGTGACTTGAATTTGGTGCCTTATACATGCTAGGCAAGCGCTCTACCACTGAGCCACAAACCTTGATTCTTTTTTTTTTTTTTTTTTAATTTTTTAGTTTTATTTTTTAGTTGTTGATAGACCTTTATTTATATGTAGTACTGAGAATTGAACCCAGTGCCTGACATATGCCAGGCAAGTATGCTACTTCTGAGCCCCAGCCCCCGCCCCTCTTGATTCTTTTTTTAAAATGGAATTATATTTGAAACTTTTGAACAATAATTTTTTGGGGCACTTGGAATTGAACTCAGGGGCACTCCACACAGAGCCATATCCCCAACCATATTTTGTATTTTATTTAGACACAGGCTCTCACTGAGTTTCTTAGTGCCTCGCTGTTGCTGAGGTTGGCTTTGAACTCACAATCCTCCTGAGACAGGTGAACAATAATAAATTTTTTATTTCTCTCTACACAGATAATGTTAGTAGTAAATGTTAATTTTAATACCCTAAAGATTTTTGTTGCTTGAATATAAAGAAATTCTGATTTCTGTCTCCTATATTATAGGATGAGCATTCCTAATCTGAAATGGATGAGCATTCCTAATCTGAAATGCTTCAAAGTATGACACGTATGAGTATCAAATTTGGATTTTGGAATATTTCAAATATTCAAATAGAAATGTTCAATTGGTAAAGCCTATGCAAATATTTCAAAATTGAAAATCTCAAATATGAAACACTTCTGGTCCCAAGCAAGCATATTAGAAAGACACTGAACCTATACTCATTTTTAAATTTCCATTTGAAGTTATCATAAGAATCAAGATTTCTATCTCAGTACCATTTTAAAATATGTAAACATGAATATATTAAGTCATGAGATACCATGAAAGTTAACTGATAGGAAACTCATTCCATGATAGTTTTCTGCCTCTTTTGAGATTGTTTTTTCCCCTTCATTATTTTGTCAAGAATTATGCTGATTTATTTTTGAAAGTTAACCTATTTTCTCAGAATAAACTCTTATTATTGTGGGATCCAGTTTAATGGTTCATTTAGGATCTTGGCATCTACTTGTTTATTTATGTATTTCTTCTTTTGTGATAACTGGGATTGAACCCAAGCTTTGCTTTTGAGCCATATTTTGGGCCATTCTCAATTTATTTTGGGACAAGGTCTTGCTGGATACTCAGGATGTGACTTCATACTTTTTTTTCCGGGTACTAGGGATTGAACTCAGGGGCACTTGACATTGAGCCACCTCCCCATCCCTTTTTTGTATTTTATTTAGAGACTCACTGAGTTCCTTAGCCCCCTCACTTTTGCTGAAGCTGGCTTTGAATTTGTGATTCTCCTGCCTCAGCCTCCCGAGTTGCTAGGATTACAGGCATGTGTCACTGTGCCTGGCTGGCTTCAAACTTTTTTTTTTAAAAATAATTTATTTTTTAGTTGTAGATGGACGCAATATCATTATTTTTATGTGGTGCTGAGGATCAAACCCAGGGCCCCGCACGTGCTAGGCCAGTACTCTTTAGCTGAGCCACAACCCTAGCCCTGGCCTCATACTTTTTCATTGCTCCTGCCTTAGCCTCCCAAGTAGCTGGGATTATAGGCCTGTTCCACTGTGCCTGGTTGGCATTGAAGAAATTAATCTGTGGCTTTCTTTCCTTATTATAGTTGTATCAGATTTTGACATTAATGTCATGCTGGTCTCATAACAAGTGGGGAGGTATTCTTTTTGTTTTTCTGGAAGCGTTTGTGTAAGATTGACATTATTATGTGTTTGGTAGGATTCACTTGTAAATTTGGGTCTAGAATTTTCTGAAGGTTATGATTGTGGATAACTTTTTTTTTTTTTTAAGCTGGTTAAAGAATTCTTTAAAATTTCTAATTTTTATTGAGGTTCATTGTAGTTAGTTGATTGTAGTATGTTTTTTTTTGCAGTTCATTATTTCTTTATTTCATGGAGCTGGGAATTGAAACTAGGGATGCTCTACCATGGAATTACATTCCCATTCCTTTTACTTTTTTTTTTTTTGTTTAATACCAGGCATTGAACCCAGGGGCACTTACCCACTGAGCCACATCCCCAGCACTCCCTCCCCCCACGTTTTTGAGACAGAGTCTTGCCAAGTTGTTTAGTGTCTCACTAAATTGCCAAGGCTGGGTTCTAACATGTAATGCTTCTGCCTCAGCTTCCTGAGTGGATCCCACCTGGTTACAAACATGTTTTGTTTTCTCTTTTTTTTTTTTTTTTAATTAATTTTTAAAAAAGTTCTTTGGTATTTGGGTTTGAACCCATGGATGTTTTGCTATTGAGCTACATTCCCTGTTCTTTTTAGTTTTTATTTTGAGATAGACTTTACTAAGTTGCTGAGTCTGTCCTCAAATTTGTGATCCTTCTGCCTCAGTTTCCTGAGTCATTGGGACTATAGGAATGTAACACCCACCATGCGTGGCTGCAAACATGTTTTCTATAAATGACATCCGAATGTTCACAGGAAGAAACAAACAAAAAACCAAAAAAAACCCCCCAAAAACCAAAAACCAAACCAAACAAAACCCAAAATGCCAATAGTTTTTAGTTTTTCTTGCATCTTTGTTTGGTTGCCACCCCCCACCCACGCCAAACAACTGTTTATAGTGCTGGGGATAATACCCCATGCTTTGTGCAGGGTGATTCTTGCCAAATCTCTAGTCCTTGGTTTTATTTTTTAAAAAATTTTTACATTCACCTCCTTTTTTTTTTTTTAGCCTTTTAAAACTATTTCATTAAAAATGAAGGTAGAGGGCTGGGGATGTAGCTGGGCGGTGCCGCGCTCACCTGGCATGCTCAGGGCGCTGGGTTCGATCCTCGGTACCACTTAGGGTGAGGGTATTGTGTCCACCGAAGACCGAAGGATAAATATTGGAAAAGGGATTCTCTTTCTGTCTCTCTTCTCTCTCTCCCTCCCTGTCTCTCTCTCTTTTTCTCTCACTCTGTCCCTCCCTCCCTCCTTCCCTCCCCCCACCCCCCTCTCTCTCTCTCTCAAAAAAAAGGTAGAAACCCAGGCTTATACAAGGTTTAGGAACATCAATATCACTCTGTTGACTTCTTGGAATGTTTTCAGGGCAGTTATATCCATGAAAACCTGGGGGTATAGCTCAGTGGTACAACATTGCCTAAGCATAAGCAAGATCACGTGTGGTCCCTAGAACAGAAAAAAAAAAGTATGGAGCCGTCATCACTTATAGTAACAAGGCTTTCTTCTGGAATATCTCCTAAATGACCTGCCTAAGGTTGCTTTGCAGTTTTGTTGTTTTTTTGTAGTGCTTAAGGATCAAACCGAGGGCTTTCTTCATGCCAGGCAAGTGCTCTGTCATTTAACCACATCCCTAACCAACTTAAAAAAAAAAAAATAGTATGTGAATCTGTACTTTATTATCATTGACATGTTATTAATATACTATGTGTAACTGTATGTGCTATACTTTTATACTACTGGTAGCATAGTCAGTTTCTTTAGAATTGCCACAAATGTGAATATTGCATTTTATTAGGACATTATGATCACTGTAATTTCATTGGACAGTATTAATTTTTCACCTGGATTATAATGTTGTGGGACCATGGTCATATATCTGCTTTGTGGTTGACAAAAATGTTATATTGCAGTGTGAGTATTATAAGTTTAAAATACTTTGTTTTTTTTTTTTTTTTTTTTGGTTGGGTATTGAACTCAGGGGTGCTTAACTGTTGAGCATCAGCTGAGTCGGGATGGCACCTGGCGTTTTGCCAGAAGCATCTTCGCAGGTGTGGCGCATGCCCTCGTTGTCTGTGTGGCAGGTGGATGAGGAAGAAGAGATGAAAGGGGGCTCCCTCAGGCTAGCAACCATGGGCGTGGAGGTTCCGGGGTACTGTGCCCACCAGGGACATGGAAGCGGGGGTCCACAGGCAGCGGAGCAAGGAGCAAACCAATCCGAGGAGGCAAGATAGAGGGACCAACAGCTCCACCTATGGAGACAACATATGCTTGGAGGCCCCCAACCCCCATAGTTGATAGATGGGATCCTGAGACAGGACCTCAAAGATTAGCATGCCCTATATTTGAGCAGGCAGGAGGGCAGCGAATTCACCATGCTTTGGATTTCAAAACAGTGAAGCAGCTAAAAGAGGCTGTAACAACCTATGGTCCTCAAGCACCCTTCACTGTAAGCATGGTCGAATCCATTACCAATTTGAACATGACGCCAGCAGATTGGGCTAGTATGTGTAAAGCTGTGCTAAATGGAGGACAATACCTGTTATGGAAGGTTGCCAATGAGGAATTTTGCACGGAGACGGCTAGGCGAAATGCAGCAGCCGGCTATCCTCAGAGAAATCTAGATATGTTGTTAGGAAAGGGACCTTGTGAGGGTCAGCAGCAACAAATTGCATATGATCCTGCCATACACTCACAAATTGCTGCAGATGTGGTTAGGGCATGGAAGAGTTTACAAAGACATGGAGATTTACAAGGTCAATTATCTAAGGTAATACAAGGAGCTAATGAACCTTATGCTGAATTTGTATAATAATCTAGGCTTATTCAAACAG